GGCTGACTCGAAGGCCAAGCCGACTGCGTCGTACAGCGGTGGGGAATCGCATCACGGAATTTACTGGCACGGAGAGGTTGACGAGCAAGTCCTCGCGTGGGGCGAAGGGAAGGCATCCAGGAACGAGTGGGAGCAGCGAGAGAGGTGAGTACAATGGCTCTGCCATCATGAGTATACACTGATTATCCATGTCACTTGCCGCATTCCCGTTTCCGACCCTGACAGGAACGGGAAGACCCAGATGACTCTCTTATTCGACAACTGGAGTCAATACAAAGCGGTGGATTTCATCAGCCTGAAGGACCGTCTGAAAGCTGCTTAGTCCACCGTGGTTCGCCGCTGCTTTTCGTTTGAACGTCCTTGCCTTGTGTCGCATACATCACGCATTTGTCCCCCAGCCCTTCAACGCAATCGCCTACTGTACATGATAATGTTCTGGGCTGCAACCTCTTCGATCCATGTCGCATTCACGCCTCATTTTCGATCAGCTGTTTAGTATCCCCCTTCTCTCTCCCTGCACATCGGCCTTGTGATATGTAGCGTCTCGTCTTAACTCCCTTGCATCCCTTGTATAGCTAAATACACTCGTCCATAGCCCTCTCCTCATCTTGCCGTCTTCTGCCGCATGTTCTGTAGACCACTCCTCGCGCGCATCCTCATTGCATCATTGACTTCTTGCCATCCACCTGTCCGGATGCTGTCCATCTGTCCGATCGCATGAACCATGAGAAGACCTCTTGCCATGCGCATGCAACTGCTGCGTTGCCGTGCCTTGCTGTCCTTCGAAGCTTCGAAGCATCTTCCGCTGCATGTCCACCCCCGGTCCCCGTACCGTATGGGTGGTTCATCCGATTCAACCTTATTCACGACCATGACCACGCCTTGACGACAATACAATTCAGGGCCTCGAGGAACCGCGCGCATCAATACCCCGTTCTGAGCCTCTGTTCTCCGAGATCCAAGGACAGCTCAGGACGTCCGCATGTATGCGTCTCGCGCAAGCACCGATCGATACCGGCTGCGATAGATGGCCTCATGACGCATGGCCACACCTGCATTCCCATGCAGCGGGGACAGCGGATAACGAGCGCACTTGCGAGCTGGAACCATCCTTCCATACCTTGCAGTCTCTAAGGACCATACTCGCACAGGAGTCTTGCAGGATACGCCCCTCGTGTATCATTATGTCCGCATGTCCTAGACCCTCTCGTTTCGAGGCCGCACCCGCTTGTGTTGGCGAACTCTATGCCGCGCGAATCGCGGAACAGAACATCTAGTGGAACTCGAAGTTGAGTTTCTCAGCATTTCTGCAGGATGTCAGGATGTTAGTGAACTGGCACTCTTCTCCGCACGTCCTGAATACTTATGTCCAACAAGTCACTGAACCTGAGGCCTGAGGTCTGCATGTTGCCCAGGCACACCAGGTCCATCGTGCAGACGCCATCCCGGCTCAGCCATCCGGAATGACGATGATCCTCGCTGCCAACCGTCGGAGGTTGTATGTCTCGTCGTTGGACGCTGGGGCAAAACCGCACAGACGGGTCCAATGCAGATGCAAAGTTCATCATTTGTCATTGCGCTCTGAGTAGTCACAAGTCGCACGCAGGCGCGCGCATAACATATCATCGACGTCCAAGAACCGGGACGGCACCTCGTCGGACGCACGCGCCACGAGCGGTGAACGTCCGGGCCACATGCACCAAGAAGGGCATGCTCAAAGGTAGAAGCACCGCTCCTTCAAGGCGCGCATGCCGAAGATCTCCTGCGGAAGAAAAGAGATGTCGTCAGCACATGTGAACAGACACAGGCCGCCGGAGGTGTGGGACGGCGGAGAGCCGAGCAGAAAAGAGGGAAGATGGACTTGGCGTCGAAAATGCTCTCCGGGATTAGGGTACGAGCGGAGGGGATATACGATGAAAGACGGAGAGGAAGATCAGGAACCCGGACATGACAGAACAGGCACTCACCCAGTCTGCTGGGGTCACCCAGAGGTCGGCGACACCGTCCATTTTTCCCAGTACCGCGGCACCCTTCCAAGCGAGTACACGGGGGTCGACGTCCTTGGGAGGCGGGATGATCTGGACCTTCTCCATGTTGGGCACGAGCGGGGTTGCAATAGCCTGCAGCCTGGACCGATCACTCAGTATATGCACCAGCGACCAGATTACCAGAGGTCCAGCCCACACCTGCTCTCGAGCGCATGCGCCATTCCAGGAACCAGTGCGGTCCCGCCAATGACCAGGACCGCCTGGAGATACTTCCGAATCTTCTCGTCTCCTCCGGCCGCCCGCGCGCTGTTGAAGATCGCGACATCGAGCGGGAGCTTGCTTGCCTCGAAGCTGACATCGATGTTGAACGCGCCATAGGACATGGACACCGGGATCGGGGGATGATGTGCCTGTGCTGGTACAGCGGGGGCGGCGAGCGCCTTGGGGTCGAGCTCGTCGACATCGATGACCTCGACGGGCTTGTCTGCCTCCTTGCCCTTGCCCTTGTCTGACGAACCCTTGTCGTCTTCAGCGTTCTCCTTGCCTGGCTCCGCAGACTCCTTCTCGCCAGTGTCAGTCTTGTCGGCGGACGTCGCGTCCGCCATCTCAACATCTTCATCTTTGACTTCTTTCAAGTCGTTGGCAGGTGCAGGAGTCCCCTCAGCAACAGGTGTTACCGGGGTTGTGGCAGAACCTGGCGGAAGACGGGTGAGAGAGCGTGCCATCGCGACAAGTTCGCACATACCACTCGCAGCCGGTTGAGGAGTTATAGCGAGGGATTGTCCCTCTGTCGTCGCAGGAGTCTGAAGCGGAGGGGTAGCCATTGGCGGCGCGTGGTCGAGGGTGATAGGCGGGGGCAAGACCGGGAAGAGGTGTTGGGTAGAGATCATCATGGCTTGTGTCTGCAACGCGATGAGCATACAGCAAGCCGAAGCCAGTCGCGGGGGAGATGACGCACATATCTCTCGGAGAACTTGTCGGCACTTTGCTCAACCATCTCCTCCCCCATGTCTGGTGCACGCATCAGAAACCGCATCCCAGCTCTCTTCTGCTCGAATTCAATCACACGAGGCTCGAAGAGGCACTGCAGAAGAGCGTATGAGGAAGAGGACGGCAACAAAGTAGGGTAGGTACTTGCCATAGGGGCGAGGATGATCTCGTCATATGCGCGAAGACCGTACTTCTCGGTCTGCTTCCCGGGTCGCCGCACTGAGAAGTCATACAGGTTAAGTGCCACGTCGCCCTTCGTTGGGGGTGAGCAGGAATCATACGTAGACCGGCTGGTTCGACTCACCTCCGCCAACGTACATAGTCGTGCCTTCAGTTCCTCCATGACATTCCAATCATACGATCGAGCAAGGTCGCAGTCGCTGTACGGGAAACCTATCTTCTCCAACAAGACGTAGAGGAACTCGGTGATATCGTTCCCGCCCATGCTGAGCACCATTCTGTCGCAGCTTAAGTTCAGTGACCATTCATTACTCGCCATGCGCCGCACACTTCATACCTCGTATCAGCGATAACCAGACCGTCATCGACACAGGCAATGCTCGTCTTCACTGCGCCCATGTCGACGACGCACGCATTAGATATTCCAGCTCCGTAGGTCGCGGCGAGTGATTCCTGTGGAACAACGTCAGCCGACATATGATAAATGTTCGTGAAGGTCAGTACTTGCTGAGCACAAATCTGCTTGAAGCCCATGTCGATGAGCAACAGCCTTGATAGACCTTCGACATATAGGCGGTCATAGTAGTCCGGGATGACTAGGACGACCGAATATTCCTGCATACAGCGATTAGGACGGAAACCGGACCGAGTCTGGTCTATTACTGACCTTGTACATGCTAGGCTCGATGTCCTTCATTCGCAAGGACTCTCGCAGGATAGCCTCAATGTCGCTGAGGATGAGTTGAGGTGAGGGGTAATCGCGCGTGTTGAAGTTCCCGCCATAGATAGGCCACCTCACGGCATAGCCCATATCTTCCGGGTTCGCTAGGCGGAGAGCCTTCTCACCCACAAGGTATGGCTCATCTGAGGAGGTGATCCAGTCGACGTGGTATGGATCGTTGGCCTCGGGTATCTTCTCAGGCTTGAACTGCTCATTAAACGCTGTCGCGACTCCTGCGGCATTCGTCGTGACACGCAACTTGTAGAAGCGCATGCGGTCACGTAGGGAGACAGTGATTGCAGCGACCTTTGCGTCGAACTGGATTGATGTCGCACTCAACTTTCCTTGCATTCATGGGGACATAGCACTGTCCACGTACAGGATCATCTGAAGCTAAATTCACGGCGTACTCATCTCCAGCCGGAGGCGTTATAGAGGGCTTGGACCTCCTCCTGTCTTCGCGTGGCCGCGAGATACCGGGGAGATACTTCTGTGGGGATACTGGAGTGTTCTGTTTCCGCGCGATTACATTTGGGACGGTGAGGGGCGTGACGTCTGAGGCGCGTCCTATTCGTAGGAAGACGGGAAACGGACTGGAGGACAATACCTTCGCCCCTCTCCGAGTCTTGCATACGCGTGAGGGTGAGATGTGGTGAGACAGAGCTTGCAACGCACCTCAGTAGGAGTGGCAGCACCAGTCTCATCCAGCACGTTCCGAGTCCTGTGTGCACGAACGGCATTCCTCGCCCATAATGTTTGCGAGTCTGACTTTAGATACGTCGACCCAACGTGCTTTGGGTTCGGTCTGGATATATATTGTCAAAAACCACTACATATCGCGTACGAACAAGCGAGTGTCCAGGACGTACGCCAAGGGCACATGGAAGGATGTGTAGCGCAGCGCTGATTCATCTCGTTTGGCATTGGGGATCCCGCGAGGCATTCCAGTCGGTCCTTGACATGCACGAGACACCGACGCAGATGAGTGGAGGGGAAAGAGTGGAAGCCATTCATTCGACGGCGATCAATCCAGAAGTCAACATACGGACGCTGGCGGATACCCTCTGCTCCTCGGAGTACTCCTAAGTAGTGATGTTCGCTACCAACCTCATTGACAGCGTGGCCTGGTGGTCTAGTAGTATGATTCCTTCTTAGGGTGGTTCTCGGTGCAAACCCGAGTGATTACGTGATATGGAGGAGGTCCCGGGTTCAATTCCCGGCCAGGCCCTTGGGAGATGGCAATTGAACGCTGTTACTTTTTGTGGACGAACAGACCTTGCACGCAGCAACCACGGCCAAGTACGAGTTATATGATTATGTACGACAAGGGCAGAGCCAGGAGCTCGACCCTGAACAATCCACCTCTACTGCTCCGCAACGAGTTCCTCGAGAATGTCGCGCAGAATCCTCATCTGTATCTCGCTAATTCTTTGCTGTCCACACAGCTCGAGCAACCACACGTCGCGCGACTTCATCCGAGCCAGGGTGCCCAGATACTCTCTGGTGACGACTCCCATCGATGCAAGAAGTCGGGCGAGATGTTGTGCATCGGTGTGAGGGATACCGCCCGAGATGAGCATGTCCATGATCGAGCGAGGTGTCTTGGCCCCGTAGTCCGAAGATGAAGACGACGAGGAGCTTGGTCCGGGGCTGCAGAGGGTAGCCTGAGAAGAGCAGCGCAACAGCGAAGAAGACGGGGCGGTAGAGCCGCTCTTACTCTGGATAGAAGTGGCAGACACCGATCAGTAGCTCGTCATGGTGGAAGCACTCGGGCATGTGTACCTGTGGGACTGAGTCTTCGTCGTCACTGATGATGATTACATCTCCGTCTTTGGCTACTCCGCTCGTCGCACTAGGGCGGGAAGCCTCTGTGCCTTGAGTTCGCAGTATCTCGGAAGATGTGTTGTTGAGAGAGGCACCATGGGCTGTGTCTCGCAAGAGTCCTGGGGCGATTCTGGGAGCACCAGACGGCTTGAATATACTCCGACGTTTTTGCGCAAGCGAACTCGAGCCCACAGGACGGTTCTATGACGACGCACATGAGCAAGGTAACAGTTCACTGTTGCGTATAAGACCAATACCTCATCAAGAACCCGTCTCTTCCATTTGCCATGATTGCCCGGGGTATGCCCGCCGTGGTCGTGCATGATGACCTTCAGATAGAAGAGCACCGGCCAGCCTTCCTCGTACTCCCGAAGCTCCGGTATCTCTTTGATAACCTGTGGTGAGTACTCAGTTGATGACCGTGCTCAAGAGGTCTAGGGGTCGACGGTACCTCGTCCCTAATTGTCAGCAACTGGTTGATATCGTGGTCACAATAACGGACGTAGAGATCCACGCCGTGCTTACGGCACGTTTGCCGGATTATGGCCTGTAAACAAGGTCGGATTTGATGGGAGATGTTGCGACTCATCTGTAACCAGACAGGACCTACGGCGATGTAACGGAGCCTCTGTTCCTGCCTCTCCATACCCATTTGTACTTGTAGGGACGGGGACCGTTTCCCTATATATACACACTGAGGGTATCGTTGCGGTCGAGGGAAGCGGTTCGAATGTTCGCTGCCTGAGGATTCAAATCGTGTCATGAGCAATGGACGCCCGCGAGATGACGTGGTCGGAGTGCATACCTGACATGAGTTTTCCTCTGAGGTCGGGAGGATGAAAGACAGTCCTTGGGGGGGGGGGGGGATTCCTATGGCCGCCAAGCGTGCACATACGCGTGTTACGCTGTCTTTATGGGCTTGACATTCGGTGCTGGGACGAGCACACCAGCCCTGAGGGTTTAGGGTTGAGGGCTCCCGGCTGCTGCGGTAAAAACGGCGTTCCAGGGCCACTCAGACATACCTTCACATCGAAGTTGTGTGTTCGTCACCATGTGCAGCGGCGAGTCGGAGGTCCTGTACTTGTCGCGATGGCCCGGTCGCAGAGATATCATGATAAGGCAAAAAAAGAGCCCGTACTGTCCTGGTACATGAGGTTAGACAGCAAAAACCCTCAGTGACGCGATATTACTCAACGATGGTGAACCTGGATAGCTTCCACTAGCGAAGGGTGGAGGCAAGGTGTAGCGGTAGGCTGCCAGTACTACTGTCTTCTGCCGTCGGTGCAATATGGCATGAAACCGGCTCGCTTCGTTTGGATCAGTTCGACTCGGCAGCTCAGCTCAGAACTTGAATCAAGTCCCGGTCACCTCGACGCTTTGCGTTCACCGTCTCGCTCTTTCGTTCTGACCATTGACGCAGGTACCGCACCCCACCCTTGTGCTCCCGGGCCAGTGCATTTCATGAGGTATATGTTGACATGTGCTTGTTTTGTGCGTCTTCCCGCTCGGCCCTACTTGAGGCTCAAGACTCTGGCGAGCATGGCAGTATATAGAATGAAGAGGATGACATACATAGCGCTATGTGAATGGTCAAGATGCAATCGTTTGAGGGTAGCCACGTGTAACTACAATGTCGGAGAAGTCCTCTCTGGCCGCAGAGACTCGTCATCTTATCAAGAGCGCTCCGATGTGTGTATATCATGCTGAAACATGGTAGCCGGCGGCAGAGACGCCGTCGTTCCGAAGAGGTGGAGATACAGATTTACAGACCTGCGTACCGAAGCGATTGGAGGAAGATGCATCCAGCGTTCCGCTCGTCATCTGACGCGCACAATCCAAGAACAAGGCTGTCGGCGTCCGAGACTGAAACGGAACAACTTGAGCCCACGGAAGCCGTATACCCTGGAAAACATTCGACTACGGCTAGACGCGGCCAAGAGGAGGGGTGGTTAGTCGGCCGGTCGACGGCCAACGCCTAGTGATTCGGCTGCAGAAGATAAATGCACTGCTGCTGCGAGCGTGCGAACCTGACAAAGGATCACAGCGGACGGCAAAGGGTATGAAAGCCGGAGAAGCTGACGGTTTCGACAGAGCAACTGTCAATGGTATCAGGTCGCTGTCGCGTGCTAATCGCGCCAGGAACGTGGCGGGGAGACTGGTGAGTCGTGTATACCTCACATGAGACATAGGGGTTTGTACTCACTAGCGACAACCAGTCCAGACCATGAGAGTCCCGTCTAACCTACAACTTCCGCCCAGGGTAACGGTCAGACGCGAAGGGGGCGTCCGGGTGTCATCCCGCGTGCACTGCCTGTGAGAGTCGCTGCGCGCTCGCTCGTCACCTCCGAGATCAATCGGTCCGAGTGAGATGATACAAGCAAAGGCCAGTCGACAAACTCTGATAGCGAGCGATTAGCAGTTGGTTACTTGCTGCTACGTCAATTTCTCCACGCACCTTGGAATCCGTCCTTGAGTGCGTCAGGCTTGGACAAGAGAGCTGACGATGCATTGGGCTGCGGGAAACCGCTCGGGCCGTTCATCAACAAAACTAGTGCAGCAGGAACCACTTAGACCAGTGACTCTGAGTCGCAAGAAAAGCCCTTGGCGCATCGCACCAAGGGTAGATTGGTCTCCGGGTGTCAGACGCAGACTTGCAGGATCCACGTCCAAGCGCAACCAGCGCGGTCGCAGGTCCCCACCCAACCACTACTATCATGTATCATGTATTAGCTACTGCAGCGCCTTCAGTCAGTATGGATTCACTCGAAATATCACCGGCACGTACGAACAAGCGGTTCCACCAGGATGCACTGTATGGTAGATGGCATTGGCAACGGTTCGTCACGGCTGAGATGTTCCTGGGACCCAGCAGGGTAACCGAGCACAGCTGCAGTACCCTAAACCACATACTGGTTCGCCAATCTAGGTGCTGTGGGCTTTGATCTCATGGGTGCAATAACGTTAACGGTGGGAAACAGCTCAAGTGACGCTAGACCTAGATAGGTTGCCTGACACTACCTGTGCGTCGGACGATTCCGCTCCGTCGGTCATTAGGTTGTCCTAGATCTACCTATTCCTGACGTCCACAACCAACAATCAGAGGTCCTGCCATGGTGGTTAGCCGTTGCGGTTTCCGGAAGTGCGCGGCGAGTGCGTACCGCACGGTCATCCATAGCCTTACCAAGGAGAACACTCGCCGGTTTCCCACTCCTTCGCGTGGATGTTCAGGCCGCTCTGAGTCCCAAAGGAGGAACAAGGCAAGGCTGTATACCGCTGCGTGCGGTGAACCTGCGGTTGACTGGGAACTTTTGTAAACGATCGCTGCGTACGCCTGAGGGCTCGTGGCCGGAGCGGTAGAAATCAATGTCAAGCTGAAACTGTACACATTCACGCCTTGTTCCTTGCGAGTGCTTGATCTGCTTGGCAGCCTCCGGTGTGCTGGAGAACTCAGGATATCGATAGTAAGCAGAAGAGCGTTGTAACATTATTGAACATCGTGGCATGAGTCGAACACTTCAAGTTCATGGACGCCGCGGCCGAACCCGGGGTGTGATCTCAGATCATCGCAGAGCGCTCCGAATCGAGCGCTACGATGTCGGTGTCCGTCTTGTCTTCTTCCCGCTCGCTGGAATCCCACCTGGCTCGGTCTCATACCTATGCGCTCGTTATGAGCACACCTGGTTGACTGGTTGACTGTGAGGGCCGCTATCATACCTCCAACATATCTCGGGAATTGCAAGTCGCCGAGGAAGTTGCACTACTTCACCGGCATCGCCTGCGCGCATTTCGGGGACGACCATTAGACCGGCCATGTGCGTACCAGAGCTGGAAGCATTGATACCGTATGTCGCAGCTTCCTCGGCTGCAATGCCTGCTGCACATTGCCGGTATGTACGCAGCTTGTAATCTCATCTCACGTATAGCTGGTCCCTCGGATATGTCAGGGCTATCTGAGAGGCAGTAGTAGTTCCCTCTTCCATTAGTAGCTCACACCCGGCAGCTCTGCGCCCAAGTCAAGCCGATATACTTGCCTAAGTATAGCGCCGCCAATGCACGTAGTTCACCGGCATGCACCTTCCTCCGGAACATCTCGCACATTCACCGCCACGTAGGCGATTGCTACGAACTGACCAGCTCCCTTTTTCTGATGTGTGTCTCGTAGCTGAGCCGAGGCAGGTCTTGCAATGAACAGTGGATGCGCTGCCTGCTGTCGAGGGTACTGTAGCGAGACGTGCTGAGTCGTTCACCGAACTGTCGGACATGGCCACGCCGCCCCGCTCGGCGCGGTATCACCGGAGAGAAGTGGCCTATTGCCGCCGCATGAGGATGTCGCAAGGATATCCACACTCCAATAGGTACGCATACCATGCTTGCCTTGTTCTCTTTTTCGCAAGTCTGCTGCCA